TCAGCCTCGAGTTCACCCTGTCCAGACAGCCGCCCTCACACGCAGGCTCCTCCCGAAGCAGGGCAGCGATCCGAAGTGCTCTGGGGCCAAGGCAGGGCAAGTACTACAGATGAAAAATCGATCCCTGAGATGAATAGATATGAAGCCAAACTGAAGTGGGAAAATGACCTGTTAGCTCCCTGCAGGTTCACGATCTGCAGCCACTCAAGGATCAGAGAAAGCCGCATTGAGACCCGTACCTACAACAGGGACACGCTGACCCCTAGTGGTTAAATCACCAACTGCACAGATTTCATCCTGTGTTACTACAGCCACTGTATGCTCATCTTGAAGGGGGTTAAAAATGCAGAGGAATACATGTACCGCATTGCTGGTGCAACACAGCATCAGCACCTCGCACTAGCAGCTCCAGCTGCTGAGCCACGCCTGGGAGACAGCCAGGCTGCACGGGTTTGAGTCTGCTCCCTTCTGTGCCTGGTGTTGTGCTACACACATTAACGTTACTGACCTGCAGGAGGCTCTCAGCACCCCAGGGCCTCCAGAAGATCATCGCACCCTCCCACCTCCGCCGGGCTATAGCAGCACAGCAAGAGGAACGAGTCTGAACAGAATTCATCTTTCCTCCTCCCTCTTAGAGATCCAGCTTCTTTTCCGCTGTGGTGCATTTACACCCAGTTCAACTCAGAATCTACTAACTACACACTAGTGTAGCACTATCACACTGATATTGAGATCCCAAATGTAAGATTTTATCTGTAATCACAAATTCTATAAGAAATTCTCAACTTGGAAACCAACAAAAAAAGTCAGACTAAACAAATCAGAACAATAAAATAGGTGAGAGGGACCAAAAACACTGCTGTCGCCTGGATTGATGTTTTAGCGCCACCTACTGGCAGCTGCTCTACTGCCTTGCAGGGTGCACAGCCGCCATACAGCCACACTCAGCCCACCCCCACAGAGCCAGGCAGAACAATGACACTGCGCAGACAGAACCGGTCCAGATCCGGCTGCTCTAAGGTGTGTGTGCCGTATGGCTTTGATGGTTTAGTTTAGCGGCATCTCACCCCAGATTGTGGAGAAGCTACGAACCGGTACAATGCCACTGAGCATAAAGTACTCGAGATCAGAAATGCATGTTTCTGAACTCCTGGCATTTATACAGCACTTTTTACACCGAAGTGCTTTTCATAGAGAAGGGGATCTACATCTGGAAGATGGAGAAACTGCTGCACCAGGCAAACTAGGGGGAACGTTGTTCAGCTCAGACTGTTGAGGAGAGAGGGGAATGTAACCAGGTGACCAGGGCGAACACCCCAACTCCACAAACAGCAACACGTTCTTTAATGACTCCCAAGGACCTTCGGGTTAATGTCTCATTTGAAGGACAGTGCAGTGTCCCTGGTCACCGCTGGAAATTGTGGGCCAGAGGGAATGGCGCCACCTACTAGTCCAGCAACCACTTACATCAGCAACCGGATTTGTTTAGTTTCCCATCCCAGCACGGACCAGACTCAGCCTTGTTTTGGTTTGGAAATCAGGTGACATTAGGTCATAATGAGGTGAAATAAGCTTCAGATGCTGCAGTTGGTCATTCATGACATCACTGAGCTCACCACCTGTTCCAAGCCTGGAGAGACCTTTAACACCTGCTGGAACTTGACTCTCCCCCATCACTATTTACAAAGGCAGGACTGTAGGTGACCAGCCGTACAGGGGAGCCCAGTACAACTGCACCCCAACTAAGATCTTTGCTCACCATTTAAACCGAAGAGTCAAGGCTCCTGGCCAAGAGGACCAGGGGTTCAAGAAGGAACCCCAAACTGTCACTCACACTGGCTCTGCCCCACAAGAGGGAAGCATCAGGAAATCCTTTCCATCGCCCCCACCCCAGCAGCCAGGGGTGACTCCTGGGTACAGATCTCATCACACGCTCTCCTCTCGCACCCCTGACCCGCCCCGACCCTGGACACAGACTCCTCGGTTACATACCACTTACAGAGCCCTGGGGACCTCCAGGCACCAGCTGCAGCTACACTGGGCACCCTAACTCTTAGCACAGGGGTGCAGGGTCTAACAGGTGCCCACCGCCCTCTCCTGGAGTCAGGGTCTCCAGCTTCTCATTGCAGCAGAGCTCTGAAGCAATTATGAGTTAACTAATTAAGATTAGATTAAGATCACTTTGTTGGCCATATACAATTTCTTGGATCGGGAATTTATCTTTTCGCAGACCCCAACAACTCAGGGGAGAGCGCGAACGCAGTCCCCCCCTACCAGAAATCATGCAGTCGAGATTCCCACATTTGGGGAATTTGCAGGGGTCAGCACAGCCGGAGTGCCATGGCCAAGCCTCGCCCTGGGGAAACCTCCTTCTTCATCAAGGGGGGCATCTCCCGTGCCAATTAGAGGGCTTGTTGGCTCCTCCTAGACCTGATCTCTGTTCTGACCACAGGGGCAGGGACTCACCCCGAGATTCGCTGCCAGCTCAGTGCAGGTAAATCAATTTCCAATTCCCCCCTCCTCCTCTCCCTGGCCCACTGGTTTAGCCCCTGCAGGGCCCTCAACTCCACTCCTGGCTCTGCCTGCGCTGTAGACTAAAACACATGATGGATTAGGGTTCGACAGGATCAGGACTGTCTACCCTCCAGCTCCCAGCTGCAGGACAGCAATTCCATTACTGCTATACTGCTTCTGACCAGCAGGGGTCACCCATGGGACACTGCAGTGTCTGTAACCAGCTGAATAGGCCAAGATCCTCCCCCGTGCAGCAGCAGCACAGGAAAGCCCACTGGAGCTGGGCTGGGGGAGCCGCAGATGAAACCTGACCTGGGGTTCAGACTGGGCAAGAGCCGCTGGACTATTGCTAACAAACCCCTGCAGGGGCAGCAGCTGTCCTGTCGCACCCCCGTTCAGAAGAGAGCAGAAAGGCTCATGGACACACCTCAGCCTTCAGGTACCACGCAGGCAGATCGCTGGAGATACACACAACCCCCTGCTGTCACACCAACCCCAGCGCAACTACACCACAGTGTTCCAATAGGACAGCTGTTCTAATAAAGATTTATTTTCCATTTTTAAATAGATTTACAAAACATAAGAAAAAAATACAAACAGGGAAAACAAGCGATCGTCCAAAATCTCGACACGGGCACATGGACGGGAAGTGTAAACAGTCTTGGAAAGGGAGAAAAGCAGCCGGCAGGCAGATGGCGCAGGGCCGAGCACCGACAGCAGAGGGCGCTCCGCGACCTGGCACGGCTGCTTTCCCAGGAAGTTAAAAGAAAGGACAGGGAAGATAAAGGACAAAACCACAATCACCCAGAGACCTGAGCATCTAAAACAGCCTTAAAAAAAATTATTCGCTCATTCAAAAAAGAAAACTTGAGAAGGATCACTGAAGACAGAGCAAAACGGCTTCACATTCAGTTTGAGACGTGTGCCCCTCTCGCCAGGCTGCCCAGGAGCCACACAAATCAGACCCAGAGCCCATCCCTGCGCCCTGCTGCCAAGCGCACGGAGGGGAAACCGCTGGACAGGCTGTACTGCCCTTTCCACTCGGACCTCCGGTCAGGTCACCGAGCTCCACCCACCACGGCCTCTCGACGAGCTGCACTCAGCGCAACAGGAGCAGCAGACGAGAGACGGGGCTGGCGCTTGAAAAAGAACAGGAATAAAAAAATACCCTTTACACTGATCTACGATTGCCAAGTTCAGATTTTACAGATGAGTGAGCCATCACCACACGAGAGGAGGAAAAGGAGGGTCCCATTCCCAAATCCCTCTGCACTCCGTTCCTGCTGAGCCAACAAAGAGCCAACACCCCCCCGACCTAGCGAGCATGCGGCAGGAGAGCCCGTCGCAGAGGAGCGGAGCGGACATGAAGGAATGGGATCCTCTGGAGCCTTCTGGTGGAAAAACTAGAGATTATAAAAGGCAACAAAGGCAAAAATAAACCACAACTATATTGCAAGGAGTCCTCAGCCCGCAGTGAGAAATCCTCCTCACCACACACTACCAGTTTCCGAGCGGTTTCTCCCTCAGGGCCTGTGGTCAATATCAGGAACACCAGTGTTTCCCCAACAAGAATTCCGGACCACTCCGAGCCGAGCTCGGGACACAAGCCCTGCGGAAACCGGAGCCGAGAGTTGGATCCTCAAACTACAGAACACACACAGAACCGGGAAACCCAAAGCACTGGTTCAGAAGTCTTTAGAACTGAAGCTTTTAAAAACTGGGGCAGCTGTGCAGGGGGGCAAGTTCTTAGTCCATAGGGGTCGGGGGGTTGGAGGTGAGAGGTCGGTGCCGGTGGGGCGTCAGGACTCCTCCGTCCCCGAGTCGTCTTCGTCATAGCAGCAGTCCTCCTCCTCCTCGTCCATGTCCTCGTCGTAGTAGTCGTCGTAGAAGAGGTCGGAGCCCTCGTCGGGGGCGGGCGCCCGCGTCTGCACGCAGTACTCCGCCAGCGTGGTGGGCACCCTCACGCCGTCCCGCTCCGCCTCTGCCTTGGTGGCCAGCACCTGCTTCCTGGAGACAAGACAGCGCGGTAACGGGACATGCCCCCCCCTCGGCTCGGCCCGGCCCGCTTGCCACCCCCTGCCCCGGCCCGCGCGGACCCACCTGATGATCTCGGTGTACTCGCGGTCCTTGCCCTTGCTGTCCCGCCACTTCCTGTACATGACCGAGGCGTCCACGTTGGCGGGCGAGAAGGTGTTGGGCTCGTTGAGCAGCGAGATCACGCTGAGCAGGATCGTCCTGTGGTGACAGAGGGGCAACGGGGGTCAGCATGACCGAGCTCCCATGCGGAGAGCACTGGCCGGCAGAGGAATCAACTCCGTTGGGCCCCTGAGCAAGGCCCTTAACCCCAACTGCTCCAGGGGCGCTGCATAAATGGTTGACCCTGCGCTCTGACCCCCAGCTTCTCTCCCTGTCTGTGTCTCATGGAGAGCAAGCTGGGTATGCGAAAAGATGAATTCCTAATTCAACAAATTGTACACGGCCAATAAAGTGATCTTATCCGATCTCTGGCTAGTCACCTCTGTTGCTGTGCCGACAGGAATAACCCATCTGCCCAGGGGGGTGCAGCAGGAGCTCGTTAACGGGGTGAATAATGAGGGAGTCACGAGGCTGTGGAGGCTGGGGCGCCCCTCCTACCTGACGTTCTGTGTGGGGTTCCAGCGCTCGGAGGGCAGCTCCCCACTCTGGGGGTCATCCACAGGGGGGTGCAGGATGGAGATGCAGACGTCACCATTCTGATGGGGAGGGGGAGATAGTTACTCAAAATATTAAGTCACACACCGACCCCCTGGGGTCCCCAACACCCCCAGAACCCCTCCAGCTTCCAAGAAACCAGCAAGCTCCCCCAGCCCACCCCCCCAAGCAGCCCGAAGGATGGTACCTCATAAATGTTGGGGTGCCACATCTTGGTCAGGAAGCGGAAGGCAGGTGGGGAGTAGGGGTAGTCGATGGGGAACTTGATGCGAGCCTGAGATTGAAAAAGCAAAGGTCAGTAGGAACCCAGCGCCCCCAAACCCCCACTGGCTGGGAATCTGAACCCCCTCCGGGTCAGCTCGAACCCATGTCAGCAGAATGGCGAAGCCTGGAGCACCACAGGACTGATCCTGGCTGCAGACCCAGGACTTCCATGAAGGGAAAACGTGTACGCACACATCCTGCGCGGGCGCCCTGCATGGGCACGCCAACCACAGAGGCGCCAAGTCGACTAGTCTGCGATTCTGAACTCAGCTGGAGCAGAACCAGGACTGAGCCGGAGGGACTCTGGGAACGCTCCCGACCCGCGGAGAAGTGTGGGAGTTCGATAATCCCGCCATTAACTCGGGTTTGGCTCACTCGCCGGCGCAGCACACTCAGACCAGCTCCTCCCATACCGACACTGGGGTGGCCCAGCCGAGCCCTGCCCCTCCACACCCCCGGGACGGAAGGGCTCAGACCCGCCTCTACACAGAGACGAAAACAGCCCAGTCCACAGCCTGTGGCCTCCTGCCACAGCGGGGCATCGCTAAGGCACAGAGCAGAGGAGTGACCACGGGCCCAGAGGAGTGACCGCACACACACACAGCCAAGACACAGAGCAGAGGAGTGGCCACGGGCCCAGAGGAGTGACCACACACACACACAGCCGAGACACAGGCCCAGAGGAGTGACCACGGGCCCAGAGGAGTGACCGC